GATAAACCACGGTGAGAGTCAATTGGAGACTCGGAGGCGATTAATTTTAGAAAAAAGATCGTTTCTGATCACGCCAAAGAGACCGTGGACCCCGACTTCGAGTCCTGTAGAGAGATACGGTGTCGAGAGAGACCTCGATCCGTAGCCATCGTCCATTGGCATCCCACTGTGCTGCACGCATGCGTCCTCTTTGTGCCTGTGCGCACACACACGCGCGCGTTTCACGCACGTGCCCGCCTGCACACTGAGACACGCGCCCGTAAAGAAGAAATACAACCTACATATTTCGTCGGGGAATCGACCGAACTGGCTAACAGCGAGCCTAATACCTCCGAGGCTGATGTCTCTCGAGATCGCTCGAAAAACCACTCGATAAAAATATGATCGACCACGAAATTGAAGCTCGAGTAAACCAGCTGTAGTGTCTGGTTGAATTAATTTGAAACTGCAAAGACAGATCTCCATTACGAAGCGTGTAACTATTTAAGATTGCTGTTGTTGGGAATTGTTTCTTAACTCGTTGAGAGTGCCGTTTCATGCTCTAACATTTTCGTTATTTTTAATACGAACAAAATTATTATTATTTTCTTTTTCTTGTAGTATAATGTATTTTCTAGTTTGAACATTTATAATAATTTAGAGCTAAGAATTTTTATATATTTCCCAAACTCTAAAATACCGTGTGCCATTTCTGGTGCCATTGATGCTTACTCGTGAGATGACGTGACTCGATAGAAGAAGGAAACAATTCTCCACGATATGTTTTTGAACTTTCATCTCGGTAAAAGGCACGTCTAAGGGCACGTCTTTGTACGCAGATTTATCGACCGTGCATGGTTCTTGGTTCGAATCACAAGCATCATGGTCTATGACCGTTGGCGTTCAACGGTCATATTTTTAAATATGTCTTCGTTCAATGACATTAGGCTGTGCTCGTATCTATAATTTAATATAGAATCTAATCTATAATTTATATTTATATATTATATCATTATCATATATATTATATATATATCATATCATATCATAATTATCATATATATAATTATCACATATATGTAATATATATATATATATATATAAAATTATGATGTATATATAATTATCACATATATGTAATTT